CCCCTCTCCCCCCTCTACGCAAGCAAAGCTAGTAGAGAAGAACATGTGCACCACAACGACACACAGGAAACGCAACAGATAAACTCCTGTTGGTGCGTTTGAATGAATTTTTTGCAGCAGCTATGCCTGAGAGATGTGTTTGTCGCAGGATTGGAGCTCATGATCTGTCTATCAACGGTCAGTCGTTTACATGTGGAAAGTTGAAAACCATTCTGCCACTTGGCAGGTACGTTAGAAACGACGACTCTTTTTTTGTTGGGGTAACGTCAGTAGAGTCACAAAAACGAGTTATAATTGCACTATGGGCCAAGATACAGTTTGCAATTGGACTTCGGGGACCTTACCTGGCCAGAAAGCTGGGTTGTATACATTGCCCAAACTGCAATTCGAAACTGTATGTTGGCCCGTAGTGGAAGTATAACTCATTTTTGTGACTCCCGTGTAGTTTCCCCCTTTCTGGTTTTTGTTGTTTTTGTTCTTGTTGAAAAGTACGCTATATTCTTTCTCTCAAATCTTTCATCATCATCTTTCGAATTCTTTTAATTCACCTTCACCACCTACCTACCTACCTCTTCTCCTAAGGCGTATGTTTACAGGGGACCCCTGGGAACATAGCTTTGTCTCCCTCCAGCCATCAGAGGGGATGCATGTTGGCGCCCGCCCCAACCATGGTGGTCAAGGATGGGGTGGGGCCGCCGGTGGGGGTCCGGCTAACGCAAAGACCGAGCATTTTGCCAGTAGCCGAGCCTGGATTTTCATCGTCCCCCACCCCCAACCGAATAACAGCAGTTTCTAAGGCCAACACTCTCCCACACACCACACACAACCCACTCAAACCAGTGTTGGGAGAGTGTTGGCCTTAGACACTGTTTTGTGTGTTGGCCGGATGGAATTGTTTTTTCCCGTGGTGGATTTCTGCTGCGGGCCAATTCCGAAACGAACCAGCGTGGCAGTCTTTTTTTCCCTTTTTGGCGGGTGCTGCCAGCCGAAAAGGTCCAGGAGGCCAAGGCAGGCCATGCCCCGGAGAATGCGACGGTGGACAAATTCGTCGACAAAGTTTGCCTGGGAGACGTACAGGCGGTGAAAAAAATAAAAAGAAGCAAAAAAAGACTTCTCTTCTAGGCTTACCAAGGGCAGCCACCGCGGGCACTCATGCAGGTAGTCCGGCTGTCCATCTGCTCGGGGTATCCTGGGCATGTAAAAAACACTCTCGCCTCCCATCTTACCGCGGCTGCTGGCACCGCACCGCCAGGAATTATTTTTTCCCCCTTTTTTTTCTTTTTTCAAACATACAAAGAGCATGAATTGCGCGTTTGCCATTGCCAACAGCGAAAGCAAACAGACTAACAACCACAGAGAGAGAGAGAGAGAGAGAGAGAGAGAGAGAGAGAGAGAGAGAGAGAGAGAGAGAGAGAGAGAGAGAGAGAGAGAGAGAGAGAGAGAGAGAGAGAGAGTTGGCTGGGAGAAGGAGAAGGGATCACGCAGAGAGAGAGAGAATTGGCTAGGAGAAGCAGAAGGGATCAGGCGAGCACCTTATTTAAACCACCACTACCTGGAAGGGGCCTCCTTTTCCCCCAGGCATTGACTGCAATACGCCTGGATTTTCCCTTGCTGGACGGCCAGAAACCTGTATTGTACCTGGGCTCATTAGTCTCGGTACTTCAGGGCCGGTCCGGTCCGGTTGTAGTGTTGATTTTAGGTTTCTTGAAAGCACATTCCTCTGCTGTCTCATATGATGTCTCATATTCTTGACAGCACGGCTCGCCTCTGTTCCCATATGCCTGACAAACATGGCGTTCTCCTCCTCCGCCTCCATTTTGTGTGTGGTGTGCTTTTCGTTTGGCACATAGCAGGGCGTTTTTCCTGACTCTTCTTAACCTCTTCAAGCTTGGCTTCACCTGTGGCCTTTTTGTTGACGCGTTCAAGCTGGCTTTGTAAGCGGAGGCAGCCATGCAAACCACCAAGGCAAGGAACAGGGATGGAGGGCAATACCGCTCATGCAGTCTGCTTGATCGTGCATACCCTGCACCTGGTCAAAGGAAGGAGGCAGGGAGGGGGAGGGGGGTGTAAAATATGCTCCTCCCCCGCCCCCCTGCCGCTCCCCTAATTCGTCGTTACTCGACCTGGTTCTTCCTGATCAGCACTGCAAGGATGCAAGAGAGCTCAGGGACGTACTTGGCCCCGCTATCGGCCAGGGGAAAAAATAGAGTAGAAATGTCTCTAGTCGGATGAATTTGGGCGCTCCTGTAGTGGCCCGTACATTTCCTAAAATCGTGGCTTGTTAACGGGCACGACTTTAGGAAGTACTACTGGTGGTTTTAACTTTACACTTTATCAAGTCGTCAAACTCCTTTTCTCATGATGGGATCTGATAGAGAGCACCGTCTGTCCTTCCTTTGCAGGAGAGGGTATACTGCAGTCAGCTGTTCATGCAAACCCCTCTGCGGCTTTTTTTTTTTTTTTTTTTTTTCCCCCTCCTCCAGGAAAGGCCAAGTAAGTTAGGACTGTGAGCCACTTCGATGAGCTGCAGAGCACTGGCATCTGTTGCGAAGTCTCGAAGTCTCTTGTCGGACTGGTAGACGACGAAACAGCAGAAACTGCAGTGTGCAGCTCATCAACAAACACTTCTGTTTGTTTCGAGGCCGGGAAGCGCGTGATGTGAAGAGTGTGAGGTCGAGTGCGCCCAGCACTGTTTTTCTCCGCCATTACTTTGCAACTTTGTGCCCATGCACATCGTGTGTCGCACACCAAAAGACGCTGTCGATAATGTGATGGCTACAACGGTGGTGGGTGTGTCTGCAATAGAGCAAGAGGAGTTGTTGACCGAAGGTTTTTGTTGCGTGCTTTTCTACGGGGTCTAGGGCTATACGCAACCTGGCCGGTGACAATGGCTGGTAGTACTAGCCAGACAAGAAAGAAAAAGAAAAAAATGCCGCTGGCCGTTCGGCAAAGCTTGGCGCGCAGCTGGAATCCCCCACGGCAAAGTCGACGGGCGCCATGTTACTGCTCACTCACTGCATGGGTTGGTGGGGTTGGGCTGGCCTGAAAACTGTTGAAAGGATAGATTTAGTAGGACCTTATAATTGGAAGAGTTGGAGGTTGGTTTATTATTGGTTTCCTGTCCGAAGATACACCATTTTTGGCCCTGTTTTGTCGGATACAGGTATTGGTTGTTCGCGTAGTTCCTTAGGTACATACTATATAGGTCACACAGTACAACCTAATCTATAGAGAGTCTATTACGGACACTTGCTAGCTAGCTCCAGTTGTCTATAAAAGACTATATTGAGTGAGTTTAGTCTATTGACTCTATTCTCACGTTTTCCCACCGCTAATTCTCACGTTTTCCTATGATTATTTGCGAGGGCATACGCACAGAAAGCACGTCCCCAGATGTGCCCCGGTTCCTATGTGAGTGCCCCGGTTCCTATGAGAGTTTTGCCTTTTACGTTCGGACAGGCGCTGTGGGAGATTCTTTTTGCTTGTCCTTAATGCTCCTTACTTTGTTGTGGGAGTGATTTGCGCCATTTCTCACATTGCTTTCTGTCCCATTTGCTCTGGTGCACTAGCTAGTCTGGTCTAGATCTCAGGGGCAGAGTCCATGTGCAGTGCGGGGCTGCACTGTCCATCCAGCCGTACGCCGGTTGGTGGTCTTTCATTTGTCCCTCAGCTGGGATGTTCGGTAGCATCGCCTGTAAGTGCTTAGCTTGGCTGTATCGTCGTCGCCCGGCCGCACTTCTCTTTTGTCGGGACTCGACAGCTGTCGAGCACATCCGCTCAGCTCACTGCCAAAGCGAACTATCCGCACTTCTCTTTTGTCGGGACTCGACAGCTGTCGAGCACATCCGCTCAGCTCACTGCCAAAGCGAACTATACCTGCTTCAGGGTTGATGGTCAGTATCGGATCCAGACGGTGGACATTTGAAAGAGGGGTCAACACCAGACGCAATTTCCTGTTCTCCTCCACGGCCCAACGGTTGGGGTTCTGACAAAATGATGGTATTGTGGTTGACGATAAGAGCAGAGAGACGAATGGAGCATGGCTGCCATAGCCAGGAGTTTGGAGGGAGAGGTTGCTGGGAGATTAGCAGGCGACAGCTGAGTGGGAAACACGGCTCGATTGGTGACGAGGAGACTTGAGAGAAGATTGCTGCTGTGCTGCTGAGTGGCCATGGCTCATCGTTTCCAAGTGGCGATGCTGACTGATGTTCCGTCTTCTGCAATTTCCGGGCCCCTGTAGCTGCCGAACCCACAACGGTCGATCTTATGAGCGAAAGGGGGAGGTTAGAGGTTGACATCAAAACAGAACCTACCTTCTTCTTCCACCCTCTCTCTTCTTCCACCGTCTTTATGCTGCTGAAAAGGGAGAGAAGAGAGACGAGAGACAAGTTTCGTTTTGTTTGTACCTCGGCGGTTGATCCATCTGGGTTTGAAGAGAATTGGATGTGTTCTTTGAGGTGAGATTCCACAGACTCTTTGCAAGGGATTGAAAAATTCTCAGTTTTAGAGTTTATGGACTTGTGTCTGTCTTACCTTCTTCTTGGTGTGTACTCGATCCATTACCTCCACTTCTCTGCGTGTGTGTGTGTGTGTGTGTGTGGTGTGTGTGTGTGTGTGTGTGTGTGTGTGTGTGTGTGTGTGTGTGTGTGTGTGTGTGTGTGTGAGAGAGAGAGAGAGAGAGAGAGAGAGAGAGCAATGAATCAATTAATCAGTCAGCTTTTGGTTGATTGATCGATTCAAAATATCACAAATGAACCCGAAAAAAAGGAAAAAAAGTCTAAAAAAACGACAAAATGCGGGGAGGTTCCAAAATTTTTGACCCCCCTGTCTTCTTCGATTTTTTTTCCTTCGTTGTTCAAACCACAAGGACCTCGCCCAACTATTTTTCTCCAANAGAGAGAGAGAGAGAGAGAGAGAGAGAGAGAGAGAGAGAGAGAGAGAGAGAGAGAGAGAGAGAGAGGTCTCTGTCTATTGTTTCCTGACTTGATTGTTGATGTCATCTGGGGCTGTAGCCTAAGACCACTGTGTGAGTGAATGCCATGTCATTGTGGTTTGTTGTCTGATGCTGTTAATGTTAAATTGCTGTTTATGATGGCCAAGAGTGCTCTGATTTGGTTTACCTTTCGGTTCGGTACACTTGAATTGCATGCAGCTCTAGGCTCATCACTCCCTCCTCCCATACATGGTCAGGTGCAACGACACCTTAGCATCAGTTCCTGCGTGGAACACCCATCTGACGATTCCCCCCAACCCCCCTCCCCTCTGGTCGGTGGGATTTTTCTGAGCCCGCGGAAAAGCACAGCCCAAAACCAGGCTCTTCTTTTGTTTTTCAGTGTTGTCTGTGGGTGGGGGAAAGGGGGGTTATTAAAGGGGGCTTGAAGGGGTTGAAAGGGGTGCCTTAGTTTGTTTTTTTTCTTTTCTTTTTTTTTCCCTTTATCTCTGATTCAATTAGGAATCTAAATGATTTTAGAATTTAAAAGTTAAAACGGAATGTAAATCGCGGTGTGGGGAGTGGGCCACATGGAGTCGGGAGCTATGACCAGGTTCGTTGGTGCATGGGATGGTAGAGGAATGAAGGTGATGCACTTGGAAAAACCGTCAACAGACTCAACAGACCATGATTTGACAGAAGTTACAGAACCCATTTCTTCTTCCTTTGCAGTGTTTGCACATGTCGGTGAAGTCAATTACACAACAGCAAATTACACACACCATGATTTGATTTGAGGAACCAGCACTATCACTATCATAATCCTGAGGGACCAATTAATGTCGCTGAAGGCAATGAAAAGTTGAAAAACAACACTATTATATTCCTGAGGGAACCAGCCATGTATTGCTTGAGGGGCTCCACCAAACTGGAAAGCAGCAGGGACCGTTCCTCTCAGATGCGTACTACACTTTGGAATAAAGTATCGAATGTGGAACGGATGCATTCCACACACTTTGGAATAAAGTCTCTCTCATGTGAATAGTTCTAGGGCCCCAAAAAGAAAACACACTTCAGCACACTTGAATGTAAAAAGTAGCGCATTGTGTGAGGCTTTACTCTCGCGGAGGATACAATGTGCAAGTAGAAAAAAAACTGCAGAAACCCGAAGGATGCTACAGTATCGCCCTTCTGCCCGAAAGAAAAGCCAGATCAGATGGAGATCTGGTCTGACAATGTAAATTAGCATCCAGCATTTGGGATTTGCTGACTGGTTAATAACAAAGGTCTGCCTAGAGAACAAAAGAAGTGATTGCTTGCCTCAATGCAAAGGATGGTACTCTTCAACAACACCCTTTTGCATGCATTATTAACCTCTCTCCCTTCTCTTGCGCCCTCCCCTCCCCTCCTTCGGCCACTGGAATTTTCAAAGTCAGCCTTCAGCAGTCCATTGTGTGGCAACTCTCTCTCTCTCTCTCTCTCTCTCTCGCCCCGCCTGTCTCTCTTCCTGCCTATATGCATTCCTGTTTATGTGCATCTTCTGTTTGACGGACACTGGGTTTTGTGTGTATTTGGCTACACAGTGCTATGGATGCCAATATGATAGTGCTGCTTCCCCTGCAGATTGAGCAGGGGATTTTGCTTTTGTGTAATTCGCATGGTAACCGGCTGGACGTCTGGAACAATTTGTAGGGGTCCGGTGTCCGGTGTCCGGTCCAGGATGTCTGGAAACACCCTCCCAACCAAAAAATCGTAAAAGAAAAAGGAGCTGCCCAGGACGTTTTTAGGGTCCTGGGCTGCCCCCAAAAAAATACCGGGGCCATTTTTTGGCCTCTTTTCGGCCTACCAGACAGGGCCTACAGGTCTAGACACAGTCACACCTCACAGAGCTGTCTGAGGTTGGGTGGCGGGCGGGAGGGCGCGCAATTTTGAATCGCCCGTTTTGGAAATCCCGCCCGCTGCCGCTGCCCATTTGGAAGTCCCACCCGCTAGCTGGCAAATGGCTCAAGACATCCCACTGACACGTGCTCTCTCTCTCTCTCTCTCTCTCTCTCTCTCTCTCTCTCTCGAGCACTGCCAGTCTGAAGACTGTGAAGTTCACTGTTCAAACTTATATCACGACCCTGTTTGAGTCTGTTTTCTCAACTCTTTTGAAGTTCTTTTTTCTCCTTGTTTCTTGTGTCTTTTGCCAGCTTTGCACTGTTTACAACTTTGCATGTCTGTTAATTGAATGTACTTTTTTCTTGGTTTGCTGCAAGACAGGTGCTCCACTGTTTGAACTCCGAAGTGCAGTGCCGGTGAGTGTCTGCTGTCCAACCCCCCCCCCCTTTTTTTTTTCCCCGGTCCGGACATTTTGGGACCCTCTGACATCAGTGCAGACTGTCCAGGTCCGGTGATGTCTGGGTGTCTGGTGGTGTTCGGATCACCGGACTGTCCGGACCAGTTCAGAGTCCAGACATACGTCCGGAATACAGTCCGGAAAGTGTCCGGAAAGTGTCCGGAAAGTGTCTGGCGTCCGGGTCCGCGGTTATCATGGTAATTTGTGTCCTTATTAAGGAAAGAGAGTCTTGAATATTTTTTGTCGAACGATTATCTATCCAGCGCAAATCTATCTCTTTCTGGGATACAGATAGATAATCTATCCTCCTTCGCCACAGAATTCAGAAGTTCATTCTGAAACTTCCACTTAATTCTCCAACAAGGGCCCACCTGGGTGCAAGGTCCTTTTCCTAATTCTTACCTTCATAGAAAAAAGCAGATGTCCATAAAGCAACAAGAAAAAACAAACGAAAAAAAAAAAAAAAAAAAAAAAAAAAAAAAAAAAAAAAAAAAAAAAAAAAAGCCACGAAAGTCTTGCCTTCAGGCATATAGACAGGGGAGAACTCCACCTAGAAAGAGAGAGAGTCCCTTCTCCTTTTTTTTTTCCCTTTTCCTTTTTCTCCAAGTGTGTATGAGTACTATGGACTCATCATATTTGCGTACGCTGTAGTTTTTAAATAACTTCTATGCCCCTGCATCATGAAGTGAAGGCACTGGTTCGTTTCTGGACAAACAAAAAAAAACGAGGAAATGAGGATGAACGTACAGACCCCAATGCTGTTTCCGGAACTTTCCGCAACTTTCCTGTCCATATCTACCATTGTCTCTCAAAAATGTCGGCTCCTATCCGCGACTAAGTCAATGCAGCAGCGGATAGGGCCCGGCATTTTTCAGACCCCTGCCGACAGTGCGGAACTTCAGAAATGCGCAAATGTGGCCCCACCCTCGGCGAGTGTGCAGATGCGTCCCCGACGGCGAGTCCTTGCACTGTTCATCAAAGCTACATGTTGATCATGTAAATGATCTAATTGGTCTTCTTGGAGGTTGGGGGTGGGCATATTGTCACAATCCCATACTTCTCATCTTGAGCACAGACAGAGGTCCTTATCAATCGGAGCGTTTCACCAGTCTTCTACTGCTTCGAAGATAATCGCTCTCACATTCTCAGGCTGTACTCACACTGGGCTCTACCTTGAATGGAACTGACCGCAGTCACGGGTGGACCTGGACGTATCTGGCCACAATTTTTTGTGTCCATAAAGAGGTTGTTGTCAATCGGAGTGCTTCCCCAGTCTTCTACTGCTTGGCAGATAGTCTCTCACATTCTCCGGCCGTACTCACGCTGGCTCTACCGTAAATGAATATGACCGCATTCATGGGCAGACCTAGATGTGTCTGACCGCAATTTTTACGTCCATAAATTTGAAGTATAAAAGTTCCTAGTGTGTCTATGCCCTCAGATAAAGTAAAGGTTCACTCAGTCATGCATCTGAAAAATCGAGGCACATACTGGACATGGCGGCGCCAGACAGCAGCTAGACCGGTCGCCTCCCCTGGTCTGGTGGCTATGTAGTACCGCAGGCAATACGGTGTTTGCTGTGCTTGGCTCTTCGTCTGCTCTTCCCGTTGTCGTCTTTTCTGTCTTTACTCTTCTTCGTCTCGTCTCAGAAAACTGTTCTTGATGCTTGCTGGTAATAAGCAACCGAACCGACGTCCCCCGGAATCGATGGGGCATGTTTGTGTGAGGGTTCGGAAAAAAAGGAATTTTTTTTTTGAGGCAGATTATGTCATGGAGCCCATCTAGAGAGGAAGGACAAAATAGTGAGACTGCCGATCCACCACCGTGCGTTCCAACTTTTCTTTCTTTTCTATCTAAACCAAACTCCCTCTTTAGCCTCCTAGGTGCACTGCAGAGGGAAAAACAGTCAGGCTGGCAATCATAGCAAAGCCACGACTCACCGAGACTCCGTAAACATGAGCCGTAGGAGAGAGGTCACACAATTTGCTGCCAGAATCAAACGGTTCCGCCGATTAGGCGAGGCTACGGTGCAACCGAACCCAACTTCAAGGTGAACCAACCCTCATCCGTGATCTCAAAAAGTCTCTGCTCTGACGACAAGTCTTTTTTCGTCATTGCCATGCATCGTGTCGTTCACTGTTTCCCGCGCTGACCACCTGCTCTCTGATATCTGGCATTTCGGTGCAGCGGCTCATTGAGGCCCAGGGCCACCGCAGACCATCCGAGACGAGAAATGCCACAAGGCAAAGGAATAGAGTCTTACCTCATAGCCACACTAGAACTATATGTGATGTATCTGATCACAATTAGGACAGATTCAGTCTAAGGATCCTCCTACTAGTGGTCGACATGAGGACAAGATGGCACTGTTCTCAACTTGGCACGAGCATTCTCCTGTCTCTTATACACATCTAGATGTGTATAAGAGACAGGCTGTGGTTGCATGTGGGGGGGATGAGGTCGATCATTGTCATCCACTAGCAGAAAAAAGAATGATGGAGTGGAACGGAGATGGATTGCCGACTTGTGGAAGCCTGTATGTTAGCACTCATTTGTTTTTTTTTTCTCAATGTGTTTCTGAACTTTGTGTTTGTGTACTTTGTACTTTGTATTTCTGTTCGGTTTGGCATTTCCCTGTGGTCCAAAAGGTTAACGACATTGTAGCCGCAGCATTGTGCCTGTTTTCCGCCGAGTTTGTAACAAGATATTACTACAGTCGTGCTCGACCGTAAGTGTTGCTCACAGAATCCCTTCTCCTCATGTTTCTTCTTCCTGACAAAGTAGACGGGTTGGGTTCGCAAACTATCCACCACTCAAAAGCGCAATGAACTCTAAGAGGCCAGAGGGTATAAGAGGCGAACTTTCCTTCCCATCTTTGAACCTCCTCCTCCTCCTCCTCCTCCTCCTCCTCCAACCCTTCCTGTGGAGCTCCTTGCCAACTCCAAATGGTCCAAAAACTTCCTCGATCACCAACTCTGAATGACCTGAAAACACCTCTCTCTCTCTCTCTCTCTCTCTCTCTCTCTCTCTCTCTCTCTCTCTCTCTCTCTCTCTCTCTCTCTCTCTCTCTCTNTCTCTCTCTCTCTCTCTCTCTCTCTCTCTCTCTCTCTCTCTCTCACACACACACACACACACACACACACACACACACACACACACACACATATGCTGCAATGTGTGTGAGCCATGGCGGAGGAATGGTCTGAAGGCAATTGACGATGCGTCATGACACCTCGTTCAACTGGATTGTGTGTGTAGAAGAGTATGATTGGCATCTTCAAAGTTCAAACCTGCTTGAGCTAGCTTCAAAGTAAATGTAGTATGTCGTATATGAAGTATGTAGTATATGTAATATGTAAGGGAAATTCTTGGGGATGAATAAGCCTCAATAAGGTCACCTGCTTACTTGTGCAATATTGCCAGCCTCAGGTTCTATCACACCATGAGTGATCACTCGATTGATTGATGTTGTTTGATCGGTGACCTGAAAGAAAATGGTTAAAAAAGAAAGCTGTTGCACAACTTGCACGACATCTGGCTTGGCAGTTGGCGTCAGTCATGATGTAATGGTTTATTATGTTTTTCCGCCTTTTTTTCCTGTGCTGCTGCAAATGCACTCCGATCTTCCGAAGTGGAAAACGTGTTTTTTTTTGGCATCATTGGAGGCGGGCGTTGCTGATTGCCTGCCTGCCGGGTTGCAGCTGTGAGCGTCTCTCTCTCTCCCTGACCGGACTAAGTAGGATGTTTGTTAGATGAAGTCTCTGCTGGTATTGTCCACCACAGTCCCTTACTGTGTGGGTCATCACAGTTTATCAATGAGAGCAATTAGGAGATCGTCGTCAGTGAGAAGGGGCCCGCCAAGCAGGCATCAATCACCCCGCCCCTGGGTTTCTGATTTGTTCCATTTATCTCATTCTCCTCGTATTCTCTGGAGTCCTCTGTGACACAACTAACCATGCTGTAAAAACCGCTCTGTGACAAAACTAACCACGCTGTAAAACCCCCTCTGTGACAAAACTAACCATGCTGTAAAACCCCCTCTGTGACAAAACTAACCACGCTGTGAAAACCCTTCTGTGACAAAACTAACCACGCTGTAAAAAACCCTATGTAGGCGGAAGACGGTGACTGTGTTCGAGTTTTTTTGGTTCTTGCTGACTTGCTGCCTGATTTTGATCATCGTATCAGGTCAGTTATTGGTTTGTCAAGTTTCTCTGTCGACGCCACGTTGTGTGCGAGATGACAGCCATGATTGATTGATTGATTGATTGATTGGTCGATCGGTTATCCGTCATCGGTGACAAGGTTGAAGTCTCCGTGCCGACGAGATCGTAGCTGCATGGGGAAGTCGCAGGACTGACAGAAAGCAGGTGCACAACCATGCCACCATAGCTGATAGGAAGACGATAGGGCGAGTTCATGAATCGTTTCTGCTTGGGTCCCTTCAGCAGGTGAGAATCCCCTCGCGATTGTAGTGTGTTTGTTGCGGTTCTTGGCCTGATCGTGATCACCGAACTTCTTCGCTTGCAGGACTTGGAACTAGGCTAAACCAGCCGCCCTCGGGTGTCGCCTTTGGACCTGCCCAAGGCATGAAGGAGAGGAAGTTCCGACTGTCATCCAAGCCCAGAAGGTTTAGGCTCCCTTCGGTTGAGGACCTTGTCATTGCTCCCGCTGCAATTCCTAGTCCCCCGCCGTTTCCTAAACTTGCACACCATGTTCGCGAGGTTGTCTCCCAGATCCAGCTGCGTCCTTCAAGCGTGGGTGCTGTTTCACTCTGCGTTGTCGTGCCCCGTGGGGTGTGATTTGCTGCTGCTGCTGCAGCAGCAGCAGATGGATTGGTATTTGCATCCGACGTGCAGAACCGAGTCGAGGTGTCACTATGGTGGTCATGAGGGGGGTAATTGACGCGCATGCAGCCTTGCATGCCATTACTTGCACTCCTACATGTCATCTGGGGTAATCCTCCAGGACCTGATCCCACCGATGATTGGACTGGAATGCCTTGCATCCCTGTGGAGAGGCCTGTGCGCATTCCAGCCTGCAAGCTGGTAGGCAAGGCAGCTACGCCAGGTTGGACGGAACCAGGAGTTGGATGACATTGTGCTGCTAGTCCAAATAGTCCATTGGCAGGGCCGCGACGACTGTCTCGGTGTTGCTGTTGCTGTACAGGCAACCCGACAGTGGTCAGCGGTTGCTGGATGAGATGGCCTGAATGGATGATCCCAGATCCTGGGGCCATAGGAGAAGCAGAGTGGAGCATCGATCCAGAGTTCGAGGAACGAGGGATCGACTCTGCCAGAACCGTTCCCATAACTCCTGGCGAGGGAACGGCAACCGGGAAAGATCCAAGAGACGGGAGAGGGGGTGGTGGTGGCATTTGCTGTACCTCGTCAGACATTCCACATGGCACTCCTGGGGGATGTAGCTGCAGTTGAGTGCCTGATCTAGCAGCAGATGGTGGTGGCGGTGGCGGGGGTGCTGCTGCTGCAGCTGCTGACGGTGGTGGTCCCCCCACTGCTGATGTGTTGAATGTTAGAAGGCTGATAGGACCCGCAGTGCCCATTGAAGTGGAGTGCATGGGGAACGATGGATGAGGACAGTGGGCCGCCCGGGGCCCATAGCCCGTAGACCCCCCAACTGGCCGCAGTACATCTCGGAAGGGCGAGCTTGAGCACACAGAAGATGGCACATTCACACCAGGGTGATGCATCTGAACTGCTGGGATCGGCGACACCCCTCCACCCCGTGCTGATGGGTTTGTGCCCTCCCTGCTGCCAGCTGCGACGATGAGAGAGTGGGGAACTACAAGATTGTTATCTGCTCGATTGTTCGCCTTTGCAACAGCTGCTGCATTACCAGGGGTATCTGTGGCGTTGTGACTGGTGGGTGGATTGGACATTGCTGCAATTGCTGTAAGCGGTTTGGAGATGGTGCACGGAGGTTGCTGTTGCTGTGGTGGTGCTGATGGCGGTGGTGGTGGCGGCGGCGGTGGGGGTGGCGGCGGTGGCGGTGCTTGCTGTGGAGGTTGGTGCTGTTGTTGTGTTTGCAGATGATTTCCTGGATCATCTTTCAGGCTTGAAACTCGGAAGGCCATAGATGCAGCAACGGTCGCAGTGGCGACTGCAGCATCCAAGACATCCTTGTGGTGAGAGCTGCTGCCGTCTCCCCAATACTTGTGGACCAATGACCGTAAAGCTGCATTAGAGTTTTCAAGAGATTGCAAGGGTAAACATTGACGCTCTTGCTTGAGTTTATTATTATTATGATTGCTATTGTTGTTGTTGTTGTTGTTGTTGTTGTTGTTGTTGTTATTGTTGTTATTCTCAGTCGCAGAAGGTTTCTGAGTTGCTGGCATGGAGAAGCACGCACGACTGCCTTTCCTGCATGAGGGACTGCTTGCATAGCTTGGAGCATCTCCTCCGTTCTCCCACCTGTTACTTGTTGTTCGCTTCCAGTCATCGGCTATGGCAGCTCTATCTCTGTCTGTGAGACCGGTACTACTATGACCTTCCTCCCCCAGTTGTCTCATTATCTCTCGCATATGCCTGGTTGCCTCTTTATCAATAACAAAGTTCCCCTTTGCATTACTCGAATCGACATTGCTCGTAATGCCACCACCATCCATCAATTCTTCCTTCAGGTTACTCTGCACACTAGTAGTCACATTCCTGTTAGCTGCAGCAGCACATCGGTGCAGTGCCAATGCCGATCCAGGGGCAACACCACCCGAGGCATTCACACTCTCATCAGGCCCATGCCCCCATCGACCTGCAGCAACCAACACAGCGATAGCAGCGGCTGCAGCAGCTATCTCCTTACGTTGGCTTGCAACCATATCCAAGCAATTGCGATCTCTACTCGACAGCACCTGTCTCAGCCCCCTGATCTCCTCCTGAGATGCCTCGATCTCCCTTCTCTGTGCCCCTGCCGCAACCTCGAGTTCCTCCACCCTTGCTCGCAGACGTAGGCACTCCCTCTCCCTTTCCCGTTCCCTGTCTCGCATGAGACTCCTAAGCTTGACAATCTCTGCCGTGGCTTGCTCCGACAACAATCGTTGCTTTTCTGCTGCGATCTCCGCTTCCTCGACTTTCTTCTGCATCTCTTTCTCCCGATCTTCCCCCTCTTTGCACGACCGCTCGAGTTTTTCAAACAGGCCTTCGATCTTCACACGCAGCTCCTCGCTCTCGACCTCAGCCTGCATCAGTTTCTCCCTCAGGCCCTTCGCTTCTTCAATCTCCATGGTCGGTTCCATTCTTCGAACATCACCATGCTTCTCGACCTCGCCGCTTGTGGAACCACCTTGCAACAGGCACACCTTACCGGCCATGGGATGGCCGACACCCACCACTGCACTTTTAAATGCATCAGATGGGCATTGGCCCCTCTGAGTCAGTGGCAGGGGGACCACCCCTGCGCTTCTTTCATGCTCCTTGAAGTTCTCCCCTCCTTGCTTTCCGTCAATCGGAGAGCAACTGGCAACCCCTTCAATCTCCGAGTCCGATTTCTGGCCCTTGAGTAGAGCCCTGATCCATGATGTTGCCTCCCCAGGAGGGGCCTTCCCGGGCCGCTCGCATGTCTGGGGCTGATCTCTAACAGCAGCGCTCTTTAACTTGGTTCTTTTGCAGAGTGCCTCCTTCCCCCGTGGCTGGTTTATCACCGCTTTCTTCCTGTCCAGCTTATTCATCATCGTATTATTGGACCCTGCTAAGCCCACAAGACCCATTTTGTTGCACAATGCATCTTGCATACAAGAAGGGGTAAGGCCCTGGAGTTGATGGTTCTCGACATTTCTTATCCTACGTAGGCCCCTCATATCTTCCTCCTTTCGAATGGACCCGATAAAAAAGTTCTCCTTTCCTCCAGCGCCTGTTGACGAAAGCTGTCGGATGCCATTACGGTTCCTCCCGCGCGATTGATTCTTTCCTCCTCCCCTTCCATCGACTCGGATCCATTCTTCACCATCATCGCTTCCACCAATGCCGTCTGGCCCCTTCTCTTCTTCCGCCTTACTGTTCTCGCTGCTCTCACTGCTCTCCCATGCCTTGCTGTCTTCTGTCCCATCCATCACTAGCCGCCATCCTCTGGGGACATCTCTTTCCATGACCTGCACCTTCACTTTCCCCCCCCCATGCTCCTGCGGCTGGTGGTGATGATTCACAGGGGCAGTGGGAGCATCTGTGTCTGTTTCAGCCAGAATGACCGCCTCTTCGTTCTCTCCCCCCCCCCCAGACCCCTTTTTGCCATCAACAATCCGCGCCCACGCGCCTCTCTCACTGACCCTGTTGGCGACTACGAAGCTGTCGAAAACCTCAACGTCGTCAGAGTTGATGCTCGCTGCGGAGAGGGCCTTTTGAACATCATCAACCTGTGGCAGCTCCTGCAGCACAGTGACTCCTGGATGGTTACCATTGCACTCTGCTGTGTCCCAAAATGATGCATTCTCAATGTCATGACGGTGATCTACCCTCTCTTCACCAAACACTTCGCAACCTAATCCCACAACATCGCCATTCTCCTTCATCGACCCAACTTTTGCAGCCATCATTATCACACCCCTTCTCCTCCTCTACAGCTTCCAGCTGTCTTCGGCGCAGTGAGCAAATCACCTCTTCCCTTTCACAACTCCTGCCCCCTCTACCCTCTCCACTCTTCCACCAACCCCTCCCCCATCTCTCTCTCTCTCTCTCTCTCTCTCTCTCTCTCTCTCTCTCTCTCTCTCTCTCTCTCTCTCTCTCTCTCTCTCTCTTGCGAGCGCGCACGCGCGCGCTCTGTCTATCTCTGTCTCTGTGTGTGTGTGTGTGTGTGTGTGTGTGTGTGTGTGTGTGTCACAGTCCTGGACTGTACCAGCATCAGATTCTCATGCTCTGCCTTTGCTTAATGTGTCGGACTGGTTCGAGAGCAGTTAATGCAGGTGAATGTAATTATTTTAGCACCTGCTGAGCTTGAGCGACAGTCGATGAGCCAAGCCAATCAGTTGATCAATCAATCAAAATCCCTCAAGGCATCAAACTACGATCTTCAGATTCTTCACACTTCTACAAAGTCAAGACTTAGAAATCTGACGAGTAAACCAGCACAGTCGCGCTCTGTGTGCTGCTATTATATGTGAACCTCCTGGTCTTGACAATCAGTCACAGCATCAAGAGCCTTATGTCCCTTATCCGTTGATTGTGTCCATCTCCTTACAATTTTTCTCCATTTTCATTGGAGGAGAAAGTGCAGGCTACCAGCACACCATGTCATTCAGTCAAAAACTGAAAACATTATATGAGAGGAGGATTCATGTCATTTGTATGAACATCTGATGATCCCTGCCGAAAAAGAACAATTACGTGATCCAGTCCGGTGTGTTGTGACCCATAACTGCTGCAGCTGAATCAGCTGCTCCTGTGAACAACAACAAAAGGCAGGCATAATCGAAACAAAGTTCAACAAACAAGAAAGGGCAGGTCCAAAGAAGATTGGATGCACCATTGCATCTTTGATAATAAATTGGAAAAAGAAAGAAGTTCAAAAGACTGAAGAATTGAGATGAAAGAGATGTATTGTGAAGGGATGCCATTATCTGGAGAAGAACCTGGAAGAAAGAGTAGAGAGAGAAGCAAGCTTACCTTTGAGATCGACGGGCCTCTTTGAGACAACCAAAAATCTGTGGAAAATGAGAATGGACAACTGATCACAATCAGGGTATGCCAACCCTTGCCCTTGGATCTTCTTTTTTATTTTTATTTTTATTTTTATTTTTCCCGAACACCCTCTGGGGTGCTGGAAGTGCTGATAAGAGCAGCCACCTCCAGCATCCACGGGTGGCGCTCCATCTATAGGTGGGGAGCAGCATGTGGTGGAAAGCGGGTCCAGTACCGAGCTTGCAAGGGTGAGGAGGAGCCTCTCCAGCCTGTGACAGGCCGTCAAAACTATACTCTCGTCACGTGGCCCCCTCCTACCCTCCGTACCACTGAAGGTGTACCATGGCATTGGACATAGGGGGAAACTTGTTTGGGAAATCTATTGGGGGTCTCAATGGGATACTGGGGTCTGTCTGTGTCCAATCATGAAAGACGAAGGAGAAGTCCTTTCACAGTAGTCTTTCTGCACTCTCGCCCTCCCCCTCTCTCCCCTCTCTCTCCTCACCCCCTAACCAACTCACATATGCCATCCATCCCCCTTGTTCCCCCGCAGCCAGTCCACTGAGAATTGTTTAATGCATTCGTGAACGTCTTTGTGTTGTGTGTTAGTGCTCGAGCTTGGATTTGGTTTGAGCCCATTGGCCTGAAGCTCAGTGTGTATGAACTGCCGGATCATGTCTGTGACCTCTGCCCTATCCACCCGAACGTTTTCCAGGTTGTGGACAGAGCGTTGCCACCATAATGCCCACAATAACCAATTTTGGCCCGGTCGGATGGCTGGGGTTGATGCCAGGTGCCCAGGAGGAGGGCTTTCCGGTCCCATTGCCAATCTATGCGTGCCCGGTTGCCGCGAAATGCGGCCCCACCATCACCATGTCAGCACAATGCCTGGGCATTGTAGGAATAGGTGTTCAATGGTCTCTCGGCACCTGCGATAAGGAAAGTTTTCCTGACAGGCTTTGCACCATGGGAAGGAACGCTTTTGTTTCGGAGAGGACTGGTCGATCTGCCAATCGTTAGTTGGTAGACAGCGGTAGCATATCTGCGATTGGAGGGTAGCAAATTTAGCTAGGCGGTCCTTCGCTCCTCTAAACGATTGAATGCGATGAAGGTTGTCCTAAGTAAGGTTTAAGTGGCGCATGCAAAGGTCAATGAGAACGGCTTTCACGTCCACCGAGGTCTGAGCATACGATAGGTGGCTTTGATTGTGAGGGGCTGGAGCATGAGTGGTCTACAGGGCTGTTGGCTGCTGAGGGATGACCACTGCCACTCCCTTGGGTCCAGAGCGAGCGTAACCGGCGGAGTATCTGGGCGGTGGGCTTGCCAGCACATCCCATCGGCGGAGCGCGGGACTCGAATGCGGTGAAGGTGGTCCTTTGCATGCCGCTTTACATGGTCTGGATGAACCTTACTCAGCCGGTGGTCGGTGTGCAACTGATAGTCTGATACTGATTAACGAGGGCGCTCCATCAGGTTGGACCTCCACAATGTTGCCTATGCTAGCAAGCCGGGTGTCTCCATATCGTACCACAACTCAGTCTGACTCGCTCAGGAAGGGCCCTTGTCCCGCCCGCTTGCTTGGCTTGCGCTGAGATGACCACCATGTGATCCTTGGTTTCTCCAGGGGAAAATCCCCTTGAGAGTGGATCCACCAGCCTTGGGTCTTGCTGCCCCAGTTGACCACCATGTGAGACATCCACGAATCCGTCCATGAGTTCGCACAATTCCTCTATATTGTCCGATGAAGCCTCCATCATGAGTGTGAGGTCATCGGCGAACATGGAGGAAATTGAGATTGCCTCCTCTGGGATGCCTGCAATTTTGATGTGGCTGAGGTGTTTGGCACCTAAAGCTTCCATCACTATCAAAAAAAGAAAGGGTGCCAGAGGGTAGCTTGTTTTCTCAGTCCCCTTGGCCTAGGTGGTTATCCTGGGACAAGGCCCCTCCCTGTGAGAGTCGGATTGGGTTGTGGTGCGATATGGAGACACCCGGCCTGTTAGTATAGGCAACATTGTGGAGGTCTGACCTGATGGAACCCTCGTTGATCAGTATCAGTTGCACACCGACCACCAACTGAGTAGGGTTCATCCAGACCATGCAAAGGACCACCTTCACCACATTTGGGTCCTGCGCTTCGCTGATGGGATGTACCGACTGAGTAGGGTTCATCCAGACCATGCAAAGGACCACCTTCACCACATTTGGGTCCTGCGCTTCGCTGATGGGACGTGATGGCAAGCCCACTGCCCAGATACTCCGCCGGTGACGCTTGCTTTGGACCCAAGGGAGTGGCAGTGGCCGTCCCTCAGCAGCCGACAGCCCTGTAGACCACTCACGCTCTAGCCCCTCACAATCGAAGCCACATATTGTATGCTCGGATCCCGGGGTGGATGTGAAAGCCGTTCTCATTGTCCGTTGGATGCACCACTGAAGCCTTAGTTAGGACAACCTTCGATGCATCCAATGGTTTAGACGAGTGACAGACCGTTGCTAAATTTGCCTCCCTTCAATGGCAGATATGCCACGGCTGTCTGCTAACTAACGATTGGCTGACCGACCGCTCGACCGCCCTGAGGACCTGAATGTGTGCGCCTTCAAGGGGAACCATTTGACCCTTGGTTTCTCCGCGGGCAGACCGCCTTGAGAGTGGATCCACCAGCCTTGGGTCTTGATGCCCCAGTTGACCACCATGTGAGACACATCCATGAATTCGTCCATGAGTTTGCACGATTCCTCCATATTGGCCGGCGAAGCCTCCATCATGAGCGTGAGGTCATCGACGAACATGGAGGACATCGAGATTGCCTCCTACGATGTGCGCAATTTTGATGTGGCTGAGTTGTTTGGCACCTAAAGCTTCCATCACTATCAAAAACAGAAAGGGTGTCAAAAAAGGAAAGGGTGCCAGAGGGTCGCCCTGGCGTGTTGATTTGGACCCGGGTGGTAGCGTTCTGATGCAAGATGCAGACCCAGTTCTGGAAGTCTTCTCTGAAGTTAAGTTTCGCCAGACGCTTGTGGAGGAACCACCAGTCCATATGGTCATCTGCCTTCTCAACATCGACAAATATGAGGGTTGCATTGCTTTGGGACTGCAGGGTGAGCTTAATTATCTCATTGACTAAAAGGACGTTATCTTGGATGGGCTGATTGTGCATGAACTCTATTTGCGTGGGATGGATTAGTCCCTCCATGACTGGGACCATGCGATTAGCTGCCGGCTTAGAGACCATTTTGTAGACCAATTTTAATAGGGTGATTGGTCGGGAGTTCTTGATGTTAGTTTTATGTCCTTTCTTGTATAGTATGGTAAAAAGCCCTTGCCTGGCCAAGTCTCCAATGGGTTGCCCATCGCCTTTACTTGCTGGTAGTAGTCCATTAGGTCTGGCGCCATCACTCCTCACATTTACTCCCAAAATTCGTTGCGGAAGCCATCCACCCCGGAGGTTTCGTCCTCTGCCATTTCGAGGAGGGTTGTCCAAATTTCCTCTTTGCTGAGGGGGCTTTCTAGGATGGCTCGTTGTGGCTCCATGAGGCATTGCGTCAAGGGGGACAGAAAGGTGTTGATCGCTTCAAGTTCGTTGTCACTGGCTGCGCACTGTACCCCTTTAGATGATATGAGGAGCTTCTGGAAGAAGTCTCGGGCTGTCTTCAGACTAGTGGCTTGAAGAGAATGAGGTAACCCCATTGACCACATCCGGGGTCAAAGAGGGCTTGAACCGTGGACCGACCTTCCATAGTCCTTGCCAGGGCGAAAAAGGTGGAGTCCATTTGTCCTTCAATGAGAAGTCTGGAAAGTTTTTCATGCAGCATATGGTCGTATCACCGTTTTTACATGAGCTAACAGTCGTGCTTTGAGCGCTTGAATGGGGGCAAGTGAGATGAAATGGGGACCGTGCGGATCTTGCTCTCCATGCTGAAGAATTTGGTGTTGAATTTCTAATTCTTGAGAGTAGAAGCTTTTAGAAAAGTCATTGCACTTC